AAAATTAATGGCTGAAATAGTTTAAAATTCAATACAATGTCATTGTGTTGACATGAAAATATTCTGTTTTTGTAGCTATAGGTGTTAATTTAAACCATGAGATGCTCAATCGTATGAACTATGAATGCAGATTTGCAGTACGGGTGTAGTGGCATAGACTTGTATGTCACTATGAATCTATGTAAGATATATTGAGCATTAATTGCATGGTTTAAATTAACACCTATGGCTACAAAAACAGTTGGTAGAATATTTTCATGTCAACACAATGGGACGTTCCAGAAAAGATCCACACTCCCCCCACGGAGGAAATTTCTGCTGTCCGGAGGGGGAGGGGAGACAAAATTGTTTCTGATAATAGTAAATGTATTAGGACATCTGAAGGGGGTAGGGGGGTTAACTTCCAATTTCCTCCGTGGGGTGGTATGGATGTTTTCTGGAATGACCCAATGACATTTTATTGAATTTTAAACTATTTCAGCCATTTTTGTGCCTATATATATATATATATACAACTATAACTACAAATTGCATATATTGAAGGGAAATTTACTTCTTAATTTTTCCAACTATAGTAGGATTATAGGGGATGTTTATATGTAATGCAAGCCAGCCTAGATACTGGCTTACTTTACTAAGGCAAATTTTGCTTATTGTACAACCATTCAGAGCATTCCAGTACTGTTTATAATGAAACAATCCATAATAGTAAATTTAGTGCGCCACAATCCCTAGCAGTATCCCTGGCAGTATTCCTAGCAATATCCCTATCCCAGTGGTTCTGCATCATCAGTTCACAATTTTATTTTAAGTCCACAACAGGTGGGTTTCACTTAATAAAATTATCCCTTTCAAAAGCATTGTCAGTAATACTTTATGAAATACAAAATTTCTATATTTACTTATGTGGCCTAAATAGCAACGCTGTTTCCAAGCAGCATATCTGTTTTGTGTCAAGATATTGTGTGTTATAAATATTACATGCTAATCGACTGTGAAATATTCTAGCAGTATTATTAAAGTTTATAATATAGCATTTGTAAATTCTGAACGCTGATTGGCTAAGAGCCGTGTTGATATAACTCGATGTCAACACGGGAAATTTTCCGCCGCTTGTAAACACGGAAATTTTTCTTATCCTTCGGGCTTTTGACATTGCTATATTATAAAAAAAATATAAAACATTTTTTCCGTATTGATATATAGTTATATAACACTCGTGGAAGTTGGGAAAACTCGAAATTGTATGAAAACACTCCGCCCTTCGGGCGTCGTGTTTCCATACAATTTCTCGTTTTCCCAATTCCACTCGTGTTGATATAACTGTATATCAACACGGAAAATGTTTTATATTTGTTAAATATAAACTATATTTTTATCAACATACCATGCGAGGTGAACAAAATCCGCATTAAAATCACTTCAAATTATTGTACAACTGAACAAGTCACACGACAAGAGAAACAATATTATTTGCTTGATTGTATTTAAAAATAAATAATCCATATTTTCACGACATTTTAGAGAAATAGCAGAATTAGTGCAGAAAATTTCCAATTCGTTAATATATTTCGCATAAATGATATATTATTTAATTACTATTTTCCATATTTCACGCTGACAATACGTCAGACTCCGTGTTTTCCATATTTTTCTCTGACGTCAGACTCCGTGTTTTCCATATTTTATGGTGGACTCCGTGTTTTCCATATGACTCCGTGTTTTCCATATTTTTCTCTGACGTCAGACTCCGTGTTTTCCATATTTTTCTCTGACGTCAGACTCCGTGTTTTCCATATGACTCCGTGTTTTCCATATTTTTATGACGTCAGACTCCGTGTTTTCCATATGACTCCGTGTTTTCCATATTTTTATGACGTCAGACTCCGGGACTCCGACTCCGGGACTCCAACTCCGGGGCTCCGGGACTCCGGAACTCCGACTCCGTGTTTTCCATCTAACCGTCCTGACAAGGGGTCCATGTTTTGTACTTTCCCCTTCAAATGTCAGTTTTATGCACGAAAACTGCTAAAAATAGCAAACGTAAACAAACTGTCAAAAGACATTTTAAACCGTATTTACGGTGAAAATACAAAAAGTGTCCCACTTCCGCTTCTGTAGTTTGTTGTGATTTACTGTAATTTGTTCTGTTTTTCTGTAGCGATTACCGATTTATCGGCAAATACCGCGATAAAACTTAGTTTTTTCTATTTTTAAATATGATAATTTGTAGCAAAGGGAAATAATACATTTTTCGTTAGTTTCATTGCATAAAAGGAACGAAATTTAAATTTTATCGCAGTTGATTTGCCGATAAATCGGTAATCGCTACAGAAAAACAGAACAAATTACAGTAAATCACAACAAACTACAGAAGCGGAAGTGGGACACTTTTTGTATTTTCACTGTAATACCAAAACTGAACAAATATTAGTTAGATAACTTAGATATACAAACTAAAGCACAATACAAACCATCACAACAGAAATATATATGTCGTGAATAACTTTTAAAGTTTGAAAACTAACAATTTATCCTGGAATTTAGCTGTCAGTTAAAACCAGGGCCTTTTTTAAGGATTTTCCCGTGGGGGGGCATTTTTTGAAAAGGGACTTTTCTGTGATATAATATATTAGAGGGGGATAGCAATGGCTGAAGGCTACGTGTGTCGCCAATATACCACTCATGAATGGGGGGTGGTCTGGGGGAGTATTCCCCCAGAAAATTTTTGAAATTTGAATCCCGGAAATGTCATTTCCTGCATTCTGAGCATCCAAATTTGCTCCAAAATTTATGCTAACTATACTTGTATCTGAAATAAATAAAGGGAAAAACGCACAAAAATTAAAATTAACCATCATTTATCATTACTTATTAGAGGGATAATCGCCAGAAAATTTTTGAAATTTGAATCCCGGAAATGTCATTTCCTGCATTCTGAGCATCCAAATTTGCTCCAAAATTTATGCTAACTATACTTGTATCTGAAATAAATAAAGGGAAAAACGCACAAAAATTAAAAAAAAAATTAACCATCATTTATCATTGATTACTTAGTAGAGGGATAATCCCCAGAAAATTTTTGAAATTTGAATCCCGGAAATGTCATTTCCTGCATTGGCCTGCATTCTGAACATCCAAATTTGCTCCAAACTTTATGCTAACTATACTTGTATTTGAAATAAATAAAGGAAAAAACGCACAAAAAGTTAAAAAAAATTAACCATCATTTATCATTACTTATTAGAGGGATAATCCCCAGAAAATTTTTGAAATTTGAAACCCGGAAATGCTATTTCCTGCATTCTGAGCATCCAAAAAATAAAAAAATTATTAACAATAATTTATCATTACTTAGTGGTAGAAAAAAGTAACAATTTAAATCGATTTTGTTAAACAAGCACAAAGGATAAAGCCTAAAACTTACTTTCCGTTTATGTATTTGTTAATCTTCGCTGGTTTGTTTCTATAATTTTAGGGAAAAGGGACTTTTCCTGGGGGGGCAAAATGTGATTTCGTGGGGGGGGGGCACAAGGGGGGACTGGGGGGCATTTGCCCCCCCCCAGCTTGTATGTTAAAAAAGGCCCCGCCGTCCCTTATATATTTACTATATACAGTAATGATAGATGTCTGGGCCGCCTGTGATGAAACCGTAGCGAGAATTGAACCCCACTTGCTCTGACGACTGCGGCACCACAGAGTATTAACATACAGAGGCTTATCTCAATGTCAGCACCTTTTATGTCAGTGTCAGGGCTTTTTTGCCATGTTCTCAGCCAGTCCAGTAAAGAGAGGCCACCTTTTTATGTAAACTGTGCATGTGCAGGTACTGGCTAAGAACATGGCAGCCAAAAAAAACACCTTATGGTTTTTTCGCTGACATAAGCCTCTGTATGTTACTCTGTCATGTGTGATGTGGCGCCACCAAAGCACAGAATAAGGTACACAGAAGGCCGATTTCTTGGTTTTTCCTATGATTTTCCTAGGATTTTGGCGTAACCCGTAATTCGTCATCAAATGCTGACGCCATGGTCCTAGCCAGTGCGCATTTGAGAGGCATTCACCCCCTGATAATATTTAAAATGGTGGACGTCCAGGGGGGGGAATTATGGCGTGGCAGCGGTTACTCGAGTCGACCTTCTGTGTGCCTTATTCTGTGACCAAAGCCCACAAAGAATTAATCCAAGATTGCTTTCAGTCAAAATATTTTAAGAGTTTTGAATATGAAAAATCTTAATTAAACAATATTTTATGGACAATTTTAAATGTTCTTTCAAATGAGACAATAAAATTTTTTCTTCGCATTGCCCTTTAAGCATATGTTGTTTTGAAAACAAGGCTTAATAATTTTACAGGACTTAATATTTATAGGCATTTTGACTAGGCGTTTCAATTCAATTCTAGAAATACTGAAACAGTTCGTGAAATTTGACAATTTTTTGCTTGGGACTATATAATATTAAAACAGGGGCCGATCTTTCAAAGCTGGGTTAGCTTAATGCACATATCAACGGCCTGCCCGGGTGGTACATGTCACCCTGGGACAACAGGGGGGAAACGAGGGGGAATTTGGTATTTTATCCGTGTATTCTGCCCGTGAACCCCGGGGAAATTACAATAATGCAATTATAGGACAACAGGGGGAGGGGAAGTAGGATTGCAATAATAGGACGACAGGGGGAGGGGAAGTAGGGGACTTTGACGTGACAATGGTGCGAACTCAAAATCGCAGGCTCACGGAGAAAAGTATCGATCGCCAACTTATTATTTATGATATTTTGTAGTGGTCTTGTTAAAATTTGAATAAATAAATACAGAATACACGAGTGCCATTGTGAAACCTCAAATTGTATGATAATTTTTAATTGTTTGTATGCTATTTATATTACGAACCACTTTATTCTAAGCCCCAGGGGAGGGCAGTTTGACTTACACATTTCCCGGGGGAGGGAGGGGGAATTAATGCATTAGAATCATGTTTTTTCCCGGGGGTGTACCCCCAGGGCAGTCCGTTGATATGTGCATAACCCTAGGTTAACGTAAAATTCAAAGCAATTCCTGACAGCTTGCCTATAAGGGACCGGTCATAAAGTAACTGCTAGGGTGGGCTGGAGTGATTTGGGATGGGCCATGGAAAATCTTTGGTCAGTTTCGATGGGCCACCAATTTTTTGGCATGTCCACGGTTGGGCCACCAAACAAAAACCCATGTTATTATATATTACATAAAGATATTATTAATAAAAGTAAAAAAACTATCCAAATGATCAAATGCAAATGATGCTATTGAAGCCAGTACTTTGTTTTATACAACAACAAGAAGGGGTCGAATCACAGCAAATACAACCAACTAGATAGCAGCTCAGTATCGTAATTGGTGATGAATGTGTTGGTCAAGCTTGGTGGAATTATGTATGTCAATACAGTACCAGTGTATATTTACAATGTTCATACCTGCAAGTTTTTTTTTATTATAAAATTGTATTTTCCCAATTTAGATTGGGTGGGTGGGTCATGAAATAAATTTGGTAAGATTAGATGAAATTTTTATCTACATCCTAAGATGGTCACCAAACTTATTGGTAAAATTTGCGATTTACCTCCAGCCCACCCTAGCAGTTACTTTAATATGACCAGTCCCTAAATTCGGAAATTTTTCTTCAGAGATCTTGTCTGGATCGATAAGAATTTTACTTCTCTGAAGTTTTGAAATAAACAGACGTACAGAAATACACAAACTATAAAACAGCAGGTCGAATTTTAACTCTGGGTTTATAGCGCTAACCTACCTTTGAACAACTGGCCCCAGAACTAATCACGGTGGCTCGAAGATATGACTTTTATCTTCTCGTGTTAAAAACAATATTTTACTCACTCGCTGCACAATATTTTACTCACTCGCTGCGCTCGTTCGTAAAATATTGTTTTCACCACTCGAAGATAAAATAGAGAATAATACATGGGTGCGCGGGAATACCAGATTTATTTCTCGTGTTGAACATGATATCTCACGAGTGAGCGCAGCGAACGAGTGAGATATCATGTTCAACACGAGAAATAAATCTGGTATTTCCAAGCACCCATGTATTTTTCTGTTTATTATATAAAAAAATTCAGTGAAAAACAATAAAACGTCCGTGGCAATGCGTTTTACAACAAATGATATTTTCACACGTAAAAATATCGTATTTTTTACGTGTGTTTAAATACGATTTATCTCAGTGGCCAAAAACTCTATATAACACTTATATATGTTTATATAATAAAGTCATACAGTGTCTTCGCCCCGCCGTGTAAATATCCTCTATGTACGTAGACCACGTTGACCCACAGGCCTACAATTTATACATACAAAGTACAACATAATCGATACTTAAATTATATAAATATTATGGCATACCTCTATTTTGCTTTGCAACATGTTTCATGGAGTAACAATTTGATGTTTACGAATATCTCTTGACAGATCTATTGCGTATAAGATATGCGAAGAACAGTGCTCTCACAATCAAATTTTCGAATTCCTTAGAAAAAGCTCGAAAATTCCTCAGATTTCCTTAAAATTCCTTAAATTGGTAAAATTACTACAAGGCCTGATCACAGAGTTGCAAAAAGTGTTTTTTTCACCTGATTTACCTGAATTTTTCGAACTGAACGTTCTTTAAAACCGTATTTTTGGAAAATTTGAAGTTTCTAGACCGTCGGAAATGGCATTTTTTTAGTCTTTCCTACCCAATATTTTAGTATTACCTAACAATGAAGATAAGTATTGCTACTTTCAGTTTATAATGGGAAATCGAGAAAATTTTTGAAATTTTGAGTCTCCAGATCGTCCGAAGGGTATTTCGCAATTGTCTCCCTGCCACAACACGTCTCAACGTCTTTTATAGTTTGTTTGATTGTTAACTCCAATTATTCAGATTAGAGAGTTCACTTTTTTATGCCCTGAGAATTACCTGAATTTACCTGAAAATCTACAGTATATCTACCTGAAATTGTTCATGAGCAATATTAGGGGTGTTGCACCCTCCCTCTCCCCTCCCCCGGTCGCTAGGGCCCTGAGAACTTAGAAAATCTGTAGATTTCAGAAGAAACAGCAAACACTGACATTTAACTTTTGAGAATTTTAATGGAAAGACAGCCATATGTACATTTACGACATAGAGAACATACGAATATATGTAATTATGTGCATATAATGCTGCTACTTTCAAGTTTAAATCTCATTTGCGTGGCGTGGTTATTCTCCGTCAAAACGTTTTTAGTCCAGGATAAAATGTTTTGGAAATTCCTTAAAAAAATCCTCAAAAACCTAAATTCCTTAAAAAAATCCTTAAAACTCTTAAAAATTCCTATTTTTAAGGATAATTCCTTAAAAGTGAAAGCACTGCTCGAACGTTCGAACAAGAAATGAATATAACGAACTATTTGGAAATTTTGTATTTCGCGCGCGTGTATTCTTGCTTCCTATTGGCTAATAGTATAAACACGTGACATTAAATTCCATATAATTAGACAAGGCTCTCTACTTCCGCTTTGATTCCTTTGAATTTGGATCGACGTTTTCATTTATAAAATAAACTACATTTTCTTAGGGAATGAAGGAAAAGGCCTTTCAACTGAAATCCAGAATCTATGCACAAAGTTTTTGACAATTCCTGCTCAGAGAAACAGCAAGTTGAGTGAACTTGATTCTCTAAATGTCTCCGTGGCTACAGGTTTGTTGAACACATGCCGAATATCATTCAACGTTTTTAAATACAGATTATTAGAATCTGTTTAATTTTCTAGGAATCATACTGCATTCTCTGCTGTTGAATCGTTAGCAGACGTTTGGTGCGGGCGGGACAAAATAGGTGTGGTGCGGTAAATCAAGAGGCAGAGCCAGTCAAGTTCCTTAGACCAATACTTACACAGGGGGAACATGACAAGTTATCCTAGAGGACCAAAAATCAAGCTGAAAGTATAAATGACTGTCTTGTTCAGTGGTTAAAATTTCAAATAAATATCGTTCTTGATATGTAATTTCTATGAATTTTTCTTATACCCATCCTCTGCCACGCCTCCGGACATGACGTCAGCCAATAATAAACAAAGACAACTTTGAATATTAATTAATGCCAAATAAAGGAAAATATGAAATACCCTTCAGGAGGTTGGAAATTGGCCAAGCACGTTTGATCTTTACAAATTATAGGAGGAAACTTAAATTCTTTAACGTGGCGCCGACAATATGGCGAAATTATAGTGTGTTTTAGACAGCAACATTTAACATTTTTCAAGTATGCGTGTAACGGTATTTCGTAATCTACAAGCAGGGCGCTTAGTACGTAAGACACTGAGACGATTTTCTACAGAATGCAAGAAAGATTATGAGGTTATTATTGCTGGAGGAGGCTTAATGGGGTTAAGTTCTGCTTATTTTCTGGCCAGAAGAATAAATCCTGCGTCTATATGTGTCGTCGAACGTGATTTAAAGGTAAAATAATTTCAAAATTTGATACATATAAAAATATAAACAGCAAGGCCAAGGTCATGACTGTGTCTGAGAGGGTAACAAAATATTTAATACAGAAAAGTACTATTTAAAATAATATGAGGCAATATTATAAAATGTTAATTAAGTATTCCCTTAGTCGGGTAGCATAGAGGTTCACATTTGACTTCTGCTACCTCTCACTGGCTTAGTATCACAGAATAGAAAATAGTCTATTTTCTATTATGTGTTAGTATGCATCTGATTGGTTATCCCATTGAGTGGCAGCACTCCGCCCTGACGAGTAAAATTGTCTGGTGTTAGAGTAAAATAATCTGGCATTATATAGACAGAGTAAAATAATAAAGTAGGGTGCATTGCCATTTTAAGGGTTAACAGGGTGTATAGGCAGTAGTCTGATTAACCCATTGAGTGGCAGCTGCACTCTCCCCTGACAAGTAAAATAATTTGGCATTAGACAGAGTGAAATAATAAAGTATAGCACATTGCCACTTAAAGGGTTAATGGAGTATATAAAACGCATTTCCTAGTATTCCCAGAATTCCACAGTGCGATCATGGGGTTCTATACGTCAACAATTTTCGATTGCCGAAAACATTAGAATGTCACAATTTGGATTCAAGTTCTTACAAGACTTGGACGGATATCTCGGTGTCGAGGGTGAAGATTCTCTTGACGTGCAGGTGAAACAAGGTACTTATTGTTTCCTTGCATCAGAGGCTGGAAGGTCTGTGCTGGAAGAGAATGCTGGTATTCAAAGGTAAAAATTATGTAGAATATTTAATTATCCTGCAGTTAACAATATACTGCAATGCTCCACCCCAAAGTGCCCTAAAAGTTTATTTTTATCCATCCATAGACAATTAAGAATACACCCTTTCAAAAAGTATGTCACTTTGGCTATAGACTGCATGATGAAGCAAGGCTCTGTAACCTGTAAGGTGACATACTTTCCGGAAGGGTGTGTTCCCCTTGACTTTCTATGGTCTTACTGGAGGCCAAATTATTTCACTGGCAAGTGAAGAGTTTTGGTCATCAACAAGTTAATTCAATAATTCTTGGACATGCACCTCAGTTAGTAGAACAGACGGCTATTATGTATAACATAGAAATTCGAAATCCTGCCATAACGATTTCTAGGTCTGAAGATGTTGCTATATCATTATTCTCAAGAGAGCAATTGTGTGAAAAATATCCTTGGTTAAACACAGAAGGTGTAGCACTCGCCTCAAATGGTAGGTCATGCACAAAGGTCTCTGTTTAGCATTGTATGTACATGTCTCAAGTATGAAGACGGAATGTAAAAAATCATGGCTGTAATATCGTTTTGATTTAGTCAGTTCAGGTGAAGGATGGTTTGACCCGTGGTTGTTGTTAGGCCATTTCAAGAACAAAATTTCTAAAATGGGTGTCCACCTCATTGAGGGAGAAGTACATGACATAGATATGAATAATGGCAGGATAGCAGGAATAAAGGTAATTGGATTAAATAGTGTGTGTAAAACATCACAAGTTATCCCAGATAACAAGCCATAGAGGTGGCTGGTCATGCTAAGCACTATCCAGCAGTGCTATTAGGAGGGGGGTTCAACACCCCAGTCATCAGGTAGTTGGCAAAATATTGAATCCCAGTCAGCAAAACATGGATTTGGATAGGAAGAAAAAAATTAAAATATTTGAGACACCCATTAAAAATGATAGCTAGAATGTGGAGAAATTTACAAAACAATTAAGGAAAAATATAATCACAAAATAATATTGAGAAATATGATGTCCCACCCCCTGTTTAACAACAATTTTGGGAAAAGGAATATTAATTAGTGTTTGCAGTGTCTTGGCAAAATTTGCCTTCATAACTTGGCAAAATTTACTTACACCCCCCATCCAAAGAGGTCTAGCCATGCCCCTGCATGCAGCAGACGGTGATCAATTGTCAGTTAGACTGTTAGAGTGAGAAGATAATTCTTTCATTACATGTATAGTGTATTCGTAGGCAAATAAATCAGTTTGAGAGACATACAGTAGCCTAATTTCTTGCTTCTGTGAATCAGGGTCTTAGCTAGAGGGCCGTGTTGGCCGTGTTATCGCGGCCAAAAGTGGAAAAACACGGCTAGATAAAATTAACGCGGCTTCACTATTTTTATATAAGGCCGTGTAGGTTCATAAAATAAGGTGGTGCTACTTACAACAGACAGAATTTCTTCCTATTTACGTCGTAAGAAAGTTTGTAAAATCTACTTGAATTGGCAAAAGTGATACGTGATGTTTTAATGTTTTGATGGATAATGGGAACTGTGTGGTGTTAAAATGGTTTTAAATACCCCCAAGAGTTGCTGAAATCACTTAATATTTCAATGTCAGTGCAGAATATGAGCGTATGCTCGCCTTGTATTTGGTTGCAAATCATAGAACAACCACAAGCATAGTTGTTGTTGGCGAGCATATAAACTAGAACCGTGATTTTGCTATTCAAAGTAATTGACATGTGCACGCCCTGGTCATTAGAAACACGCCCAAGATCTAAAATCCTAGCTAAGACCCTGCTGTGAATATCAATTATTTTGAAGTTGAGCACCATCTGACTATAAAACTTACTAAATTTTATTATTTTATAGCTAACAAGAAACAACAGCCCATCAGTAGAAACTTTAGTGTGTGGGCATTTAGTGAACGCTGCAGGCGCATGGGCACAACCATTGGCTGCTAAACTTGGGACAGATCTTCCAGTGAGGGCAGCAAAACGTGTGACGTATGTAGTGGACTGTCCAGATGGATTCACTGATCCTGTATTATTATTTGATACAGCTCAGAATATATATCTACGTCCTGAAAGTAGCAAACAATATATTGTTGCTGAACATCCGGAAGAGGTAGTGTACGCAAGTGTTAAGCAAGCGACGTTTTTGTCAACAGGTTGAGGGGGACTGGATTACAAAGTGCGATTGTGTCAGTTTGTGGTAATCTTCAACAGATATGACTGAACCTTGTTTGCTTCCTTGCACGAGCGCTGTGAGGCAAAATGCCGTCAAAATTAGTTATACCAATTTTCAGTTGACGCCTTATGTTGACAAAAACGTCGCTTGCTTATAATAGTAGTAGCAACACTATTACCTATATGCTACAATTCGGTATAATTACAACGGATAAGACAATTACAATGGATGACACAATTACAACGTTGTAATTATAATAAGCTATAATTACAACGGAGGCCAAATGAAGTTCCCAGAAGCTATACCATCGTTCTCTATTCAGCACACACCCTGTTGTGTTTATATTATAACCTCGAATCGAACACACGCACGCACTTGTGTGCAATAATAATGTAATGTGATATTAAGAAATAACTATTATATACAAGCATAAGGTAATTAGTTTAAGATGTAATACGATACTGTATCTAAGGACACTACATCCCTCCCCTTCTTTATAAAATGTTTTTTGTTTTAAATCTAAAAATGTTAGTTAACGATTATCAGTTCGTAGTTGTCAATAAACTAAAATTGTGCTACGTTTCAAAATGTATATATTGTTGCGTTCGCATAACCATAGCGTTCCGGCTGTCTTGGTTGTCGAGAGGATCTCCTCAGTGGTGGCGAAGGCGGTTGTGAAGGTTGGGTGTTTGTTTCAGGTGGGTGGTCTTCGTCGTCGGAGGTTTCGAGATGAACAGGGAGATGGGGTATTTTCTTAAAGAAGGAGGAATTGCGCGTTACTGTTCTGAGCCTGTTTCTTGCGGTGATCATCGAGTTCTTAACTGCTACAACGCGGAAGGGCTCAGGGTCAAATGGTGTGGACAGTTTATTCAATTTCGGTCGTCGTAGGAGGACAGTGTCGCCGAGGGTGATGTTGTTTGGCTTGGCACGA